TTGACACAGGCTGGGTATTGAAGATCAAACGATATCCAAATGGTGAAATCAACAAGCTAAAGGCTAGAATTGTTTGCCGTGGATACAGTCAAAAACGCGGGATTGATTTTACCGAGACATTCGCACCTGTAGTTCGTATGGATTCAATTAGAATTTTGTTAGCTATTGCAGCTCATGAGAAGCTGGTGATCAAGCAATGCGATGTCAAGTCGGCATTTCTCTACAGAAACATCGAGGAAGAAATTTATGTGCGACCTCCTGATGCAGTAGACATTGATGATGGAAAAGTTTGGAAATTAAAAAAATCGCTCTATAATCGGTCTGAAGCAGTCACCTCGGAATTGAAACAAGAAATTTAATAAGCTTGTCACAACCTTCGGTTTGATTCGTTCTATAGCTGATCCTTGCATATATTATGGAAATGGTCAGAAGGGGCGTTTGTTGTTGGCAATATATGTAGACGACATCCTCGTTGCTGGACAACCAGAAAACGTTGTGACTGAATTGCTAGATTTCATGAAGGCTGCGTTCGAGATAAAGATCGAAGAGCCAACCTGTTTCCTAGGTTTGGAACTAAATGTTGACCGAAGATCAGGACGTATTCGCGTAAATCAACAGGGATATATTCGTTTTGGCATGGAAAATTGTAACAAAGCCCCTACTCCGGGAGAAGTTCAAATTAGGAAACATCAACTAACGAACGATGAAACATTTGGAGTTCCATTCCCTTATCGACAGGCTATTGGATGTTTACTATATGCAGCGACGCATACAAGACCAGATATCTCGTTTCAGGTTAATCATGCTACTCGCGCTGTTGAAGCACCAACACCGTATAACGTGAAAAGAATTTTCCGTTACTTAAAAGGCACAATGTCAGTAGGAATTCAGTTTGGTGAAGGTAAAAATGAAGTTGTTGGATATTGTAATTCAGACTATGCTCGATGTCCGGACACTGCTAAAAGTACTTATGGACATGTGTTCGTATTAAACGGTGGACCAATATTCTGGGAATCACGGAAGAGCACGATTGTCGCTGACTTCACAACTGTTGCTGAACTGCAGGCTGCTTATGAAGCATCGAAACAAGCCATATGGATTAAAGATCTCATGAAAGAACTCATGACGTCTTCTGAGAAACCAATAATAATCTATTGCGACAATGAAGCGGCTATTAAGCTGTCAAAATCCGAGGAAATAAAGAAGAAAACCAAACACGTCAATGTTGACTTTAATTTTCTACGACAGACTGTTGGAGACAACAATGTAGAAGTTAAACATATTGCGGGCACAGAGAACCCAGCGGACATGCTAACGAAGCCTCTACCCCATGCAAAGCTGCTCCATTGCTGTAATCTTCTTTTTATCGAGTGAGACTACGTCAAGAGGGGGTGTTGATTGTATGCCGTTAGTCCCACTATATGTATATCACGTTTTTGTTTATTATTATATCAGTTACCTGACAGATGGCGTGAGCACCCTTCTCGTACTAACCTAATCTTATTATTGTTGTTCGCACACGCCAGAAACCAAGCTCTGCCTTTTTTTTTTATTAACAAAATCCCAATAAAATTATATTATGCTTAGAAAATTATACAAAGTATGCAAATAATTTTTCTTGAAAAGCATTTCATCGGAAACATGTATTGTTCCATTCACAAAACTTATCCAAAAACGAACTATAATCCCTCTTCACCAATTTTAATAATGTATAGCATAGATGTACTGTTTGTGTTAGATATATGTCTAAAAGTATAAACATCTTGATATGTTTACTTTAATATTATGATTTCAAAAAAATAATTTGTCTTTTAATTAACTGGTCAAAATAAAGCTAAATAATTTATCCCTCTTTAAGACGTATAATACAATAAATAATATATTATGTTACAATTCTTTCTTGATAACATGAAGCTTCTACGGATGCTTTCTATATAAAGATTATGCGTTTTACGGGTTTCTTCCGTGTCCAGATCCATTCTTGGAATACGCAAGCAATCCGCGAAACGTATAATCTTTAAATATCTTCATAATCTTTAAATATCTTCTTTTTTATTAAATTATATTAAATAAAGCATGTTTGCGTTTCATTTCGCCGTGTGATTTGTTCTATCCATGATGTCTATAACAGACTATGTAATAAATGTTTGCGATTTAAAAATCGATTGACAGTTCACTTTTAAAAGGTTATGTTTAATACAGACATAACTAAAACTCATAATACAGACATAACTATAAATTCAAAAACGAGAGAGAGACAGAGAGAGAGATGCAAATTACACACACACACATATATATATATA